CGRGAGGTGCACGCCGGGAGCTGGAGTCCCGCGCCTCGGCAGCGCCGCCGCCGCCGCGCTCACCTCGCGCTGCTGCTGCTGCCGCTCGCTCTTCCGCGCCCGCAGCCGCTCCGCCAGGTCCTCGGCCCGCACCGACGCCGCGCGCTGCCCGCCGGTCACACTGCAGGCCGCCTGCGCCAGGGCGGCGAGCGGACGCCACAGCAGCTTCATGCCGCCACCTCCGCCCGCCGCCGCCATCTTGCCTCCGCACCGCCCCCTTGCGGGCGGGAGGGGCGGGACCGCGGCCGCAGCGCGGCCAATCGCGGCAGCGGGGAGGCGGTGCCTCGGCGCGCGGGGCCAATGGCGTGGAAGCGCTGCGGCGGCCAATGGCGTGGCSGCATTTAAACGCCGGCGACGGTTGGCGACCGTTAACGGCCGCGGCGCGGGGACGCGGAGCGCGGCAGGTACCGAGGGGGAGGCCGGGCGGGAGGGCGGCCCCAGACCTCGGCTGTCCGTCCCAGTAACTCCCAGTTAGTCCCCGTTCCCCCAGGGTGAACCCGGCACTGGGGCCGCCCCGGTCAGTGGCGGGACGAGCGGCCCGGAGGTGGCCGGCAAGGCTCCCTCCCTCCACGTACCACAGGACTCGCCGTATTKGCTAAAATGTATTAAAAAATCAATGTAAACCCGCGTTTTAGAAGGAAAACAAGAAGCCGAGCGGCTTTTAGGGGGAGGGAGGGCTTGGTTTCTGCCCCCCACRCCCCAGAGAAGCCGCCGTCATCCCTCGGCATCCATGCAGACCCGCTTGGGCGCTCGCTGGGCGGTCTCGCCGTTGGCCTTCACCGCCTCGTCGTCCTCCTCGCCGTTCTCGGCGGCGGCGCCGTGGCTGCGCTTGGGCTCGGGCGCCTCTGCTTGGCCGCAGCCGGGGGGCATCTCGATGCGGCCGCGGCGCACGAAGTGGCGGATGCGGGACTCGAGCGCCTCGCACTTGGGCCGCGCCAGCAGGGGCTTGTACGTGCGCGCTTTGACGCCCTCCACGAAGCCGCTGAGCTGCTGGCACACCGGCGGCGTCACCTCTCCCCAGGGGACCGTGGCGGCCTCGCCGGCCTCTGCAAGGCGACAGGAAAATACGCTCTCCGAACCGCCCCATGGATGGTTTTCCACCCCTTTTCCCGGGAATCGGGCACTCACCTGTGGAGACGGGGGCAGCGTCGAGGCCGCGCAGCATGTCGCGCAGCACGCGCGCCTTGACGGCCTCGGCGGCCCACAGGCGCTGCAGGTGCGCCACGGTGAAGGCCTGCACGGCGCTGTCGTAGAGCCACCGCACGTTCTCAAAGTGGCACTCATACAGCACCAGCGGGAATTCCACCGCCATGCTGCGGGAGACACAGCAGTGTTGGGTCCCCCAAATCACCACTTTTAGCAATTAAACCTTTTTTTTTTTCCCTTTCCTGCAGCCCTTTCACACCTGTACTGCGGCTTCCGCGGGTTCTTCTCCACGTCCAGGAGCTCGTCGATGATCTCGGGCTGCTCCAAGCCCTGGCCCACGAGGAAGAGGATGGCCATCATGCAGCGCACTTGGTGGTAGAGGAAGGCCAAGCCGCTCACCTCGAACTGGTAGAGGCGGAAAGGCTCCGGCGCGCCCTCGCTCGCTTCCGCCGGCGTCACGCGCGCGCTCAGCACCGTCCTCTGGAAGCTCACGACTCCGTTGGCCACGTCCATCTTGCAGAGGTTGCGGAAGTCGTGGGTGCCCTCGAAGCGGCGCGCGGCCGCGTCCATGAGGGCCACGTCGAGGCCGGCGGCGGGGAAGAAGTAGCGGTAAGTGCGGCGCAGGCAGCTGAAGCGCGCGCTGAACGCCGCCTCCACGGGCGCCCAGGCCAGCACGCGGATGTCGGGCGGCAGCACCCGGTTGAGCATGTGCGTGTAGCGCAGCTCGCCCTGCACGTGCCCGTCCCGCGCGAGCTCCTCCGGCGACAGGCTGGAGCGCAGATCCAGCGAAATCACCTGCGGAAACAGCCGCTAGCCCCGCGCGCCGCGTCCCGGCCGTCCCCGCGCCCGCTCCGCGCCCGCCGCGCACCTGCCCGAAGGCGCTGACGCCCTTGTCGGTGCGCCCGCAGCGCTGGTAGTTGGAGGTGCGCCGGTCGTCCAGCAGGCGCGTCTTGAGGAGCGCCTCGAAGAGCTTCGCCTCCACCGTGTTGCCCGTGTTCTCCTGGCTCGCGAAGCCCTGGTAGCCCCAGCCCAGGTAGGCGACCTTGAGCGCCACGCGCCTGCGCCCRTGCGCGCCGAAGTCAAAGGGGCGCCGCCGCTTGCCGCCCGCGTGCCGGGCCTCCTCGCTCCCGCCGTCGCCGCCGCGCTCCTGCCCCGCCGCGAGCTTCTCCCGCAGCGCCGCCACCTCCTCTTCCAGCTCCCGCACGCGCCGCAGCAGCCCTTCCCGCTCGCCGTCCTCCGCCATAGCAGGRGCCTCCCTCGGGATCTGCGGGGACAGCAGGGGCAGCGGAG